GTGTATACGAATTTGATTTTAATTAAAGTGTCCGTCGGTAAAACTCGTTTCTTCAAGGCCTCCAGAGTGATTCCTCATTGTCTAGAAAATTTTTACGTTTGCACATCAAATTTTCATGAAAATGTGATAATAGGGCAATAGCCATTCTAAAACATGCTGTACATGTAGACATATATGCTCTTACCTTTCGAATAAATGATTTATCGACAGCTAAAGAATGATTCATAAGCTGCATTCTTTCATCAAGATTGATACATTTTGCCATATTGTCTTCTAAATCTTTCAACATTGATACACTTGTTCCCAAGTCTTGAGGAGTATCATGGAAGGAGATCATACCATCTTGCTGATTAATCGTCGCAAAAATATCTTTTTCCTCTATCTATGAAAATGAGTTTATGATGTAGTTATTAACCAGCACAAATAAAACATAAAAATTTAGCAATTTACCATTCGTAGTAGACGAAGTTCAGCCTCATTTGCGTTTGCCAAATGAACCCGATCGGCCATATCCGCCGGAGATAAGGTCAGGAATGTCTATTACAAAATGAATACTGTACATCAGATAGCATTCGATTGAAACCTGCATTTTTAAACAGGCTACAGCTACCTTTGTTAGTCGTAAAATATTTCTTCTAGTCAAAGATTGAATACATTGCTTTGCAAGACCATAATTGGAATCCTAATGAGAAATAATTAATGGCTATAATACTGCAACTGGTATTAAAGTGTTTGAATAAGAATTAACCCTCATTGCCAGTGTTTTCGATTAAACTTACCTCTATCATGGTTTCTCTGTTTTTATTGAGCGACTCTAACACCTTTGGTGCATCGTTCTTTGCATATGCATTGGCAAAATCATGGTAAGATTTAAACATTGCCTAAGATAGCACATATAGCGTAGTAGATCTCAGTAAGCCAATTCAAAAATTATCAGTAACCGAAATGGTGATCTTCTCATAACAACCATGACTCCTACCTTAAAATTATTGTTAACTAAATGTGAAGTATAAGAAGGCAATGGCACATACTTTCCACGGACGAGCAAACTTATTAAAATATATTTTTTATACGCTTCAATCATGATACGGCTTAATACATGACAAGGGGTGGTAGTTACCTATTTGTTCGAGTAAAAGTTGATAAAGTTTGACAAATAACTTAATGTTGACTAATTAAATGACATTTTCCATTAGTACTAACCACTTCAAAATAGAATAGGGCGAGTTCCCACTTTTTGATAGCCGCATATACCATGCCCCCGTAATAAAAGTATAGTAAAAATCGTTCTGTATCTACAAAAGGGTCCTAAGATAGGACAACAGAATTAATTATTAGACGTTGATACGTTTGTTCGACAGGAAATTTAAGATTCAAGGAATGTTCAACTTTACCAAGCTGGACAGTAAACTTGTAATATCAACGTCTAGAAATGGCACAACAGGCTTTAAACACTTCGCCGCAAGGCACAACTGCAAGATGAATAAAATTGGCATCGGTGATTTAATTTAATGTCATTTTTGTCGTCGCATCGTTGTAATTTAATTTGATAAAGTCTTACGTGAAGCTTTACGCTGTTAATTATAATAAGAAGCTCGGCTTCAGTTACCTTTGCTAGATCACAATGAATTGGTGTCAGTTCATCAGGGGAATTCTGTATTTTGCGAATGAATGCTATTAAGGGTAAAATACCTCGAATGGCCTATATAGATCGATATAACAAGATAGGCGACTATTATAAAACTGGCTGATTAATAGCAGTCTCCAATGCTAAGGTTCATGATCAATAACTGTAACATACTTGTCCCCTTTCGATCAGCTTATCCACCATTCGTCCTATAAATTGAGTAACTATTCAACAAATACAGGCAAGGTAAATAAAAAGTCCATTTTAAGAGTAATACATATTACGTAGCAGCTAGCGTGTAATCATTATTTAATCTTATTATAATAAGATATACACACATATCATTCAAAGTGAAAGAGATACGACTAAATATTGATCATTATTTCGTACACTATACAATTACATCTTTCTATATATCGAGAGAGGGAAAGATCGTCTTCAAGAGGTTTATAACAGTTTGAATAAAAATGTCAATATTACTCTAATTACCTAGCAATATGTCACAATAAGGAAGTG